ACCAACCTGTCCTCAAGGAGCTGACATTCTAATGATGGAGACAGCATGTATGTATATCAATCAATCAACCAACCAACAAGTATTTATTAAACCTCTATTATGTGCCAGACATTGTACTAGGCATTGGAGTACAAAGACAAAAATGAAACAGTCCTTGCCTTTAAGTAGTTTATGTTCTATTGAGGGAGATAACATGTAGACATACAAGTATATTCATAATACATACACAATCAATTTAAGACTTTTTTGGCAAAGCATGGATGAAGGTCTGAGCACCTGGGAGAATCAAGACGGGCTTTACATAAGAAGTGGTACTTGAGATGGAATATGAAGGAAACCAGGGATTCTAAGAGGTGGGTGTGAGGAGGGAATAAAACTCATGCCCAGGGGACAGCCAGTACAAAGTGAATAGGACTATAAATGGAACATTGGATTGGAGGAGCAGCAAGGCACAGTAACCAAGTCTGGCTGCACCTTAGAGTATGTGAAGGGGAAGAAAGGTATAACTTTGCTGGAAAGGTAGGTTGGAGGCAGATTGGGAAGGGCTTTGAATGTCATGCAGAAGAGTAGATTTTTGATCCTAGAGGCAGTAAGGAGCCACTGCTATTTAATGAGCAGAGGAGTGACATGGTAAGATCTGTGTTTTCTATATATCACTCTAGCAGCTATGTGAAAGATCTGGAATAGAGAGAGGCTTGAGGTCAGGAGACAAGATGGTGTTCTCAAGTTATATTCCATTCTGACACTTTTTAGAAAAATTCATCATAGTCATTAACACAAGGAACCTTACATACATTGACCAATCAAGGTGAAAAGCAGAAAGAAGGAAGCTTTCTGTGATTTCTTCTTATATTATGCGTTGTCTGAGGTAAAGCGTACAATTGTATGTCCCACCCCCACCTCCTGCATCTAGAACAGCTTACTCACAACCTGCACTCATGGGAGATCTTCTGTCTGCTCCCACCTGGTCTACACTTTTGTCTCCTCATTAGTTTATCTGCAAAGGGACACACACATTGTCAACTTGATCTTTCTTCCCAGGTTAGTTCCCTAGCAACTGGAGCTCTTTCTGGGAAGGCTTCATCACTAATTTAGCATCTCCATGGAACCAACCTCACAAGCAAAGAACTCATTCCTCCCTGCCCTTTTGCTCTCAAAGAGCTCTTTGTTACCAGCTAGAGTGGCCTACCTCCCAGGATGGGTAGACGAAGGGACATCTTCTCCTCTCCTATTATGGTGACTTAATTAAGACTTCATCTTGCACTCTAAGGAATAAGGGACCTAGGTTAATGTCCCTATGGATGTCTGAGCTGGAATAGAGAACAGGCTTTTTTGTCAGTGGTCCCAGACAGACAGGTTGGAGGGAGAGGAGAACTGAGTGGAAAGGGGAAAATTGTGACCCTGATGATTTCCATCATGTTCAGTCACTTTGAATGGCTTCAAGATGCCCCCAGAAATGGCCAACCAGTCCATGATGCTCAAGGTAACAGGCCTATTGTTATGAGAAGGTGTAAGAGTATGGGAAAGGTAGGAAGGTCCAGGTGGGGAAGGGCTTGAAATGTCAAAGTGTTCTTTCTATATGTGATTCTGACAGCAATAGGGAGCCATGGGAGTTTAGAGGGGTGAGACAGATGACATGGTCAGATCTATAATTTAGGAAGACCTCTAAAATCACTTTTCCAGCTCTGTGGAGGATAGATTCAGAGTGAAGAGAGACCTGATGCAGAGACCCCAATAGAGAAGTATTGCAATAGTCCAGGGAAGTGGTGATGAGGTCGTGGACTAGGGTTAGGGCTGTGTGAGTAGAGAAGAGTAGAAATGTATTAAATGTTGTGAGGGTAAAAACAAGAAAATCTGGCAAGAATTGGATGTGCAAGTGAAGGTGAGGGAGAGCGGGGGTGCAAATCAAGTAGCCAAATAATGGTAAATTTCTATAAACTATTATAATTTTTGATAGACTTCAGCACTCCTTTGAGATGAATGGTACAGGAATAATTATCCCCATTTTATAGATGGGGGAATTGAGGCTCAGGGATATTAAATGAGTTGCCCATGGGCACATAGCTAGTAAGTGGAAGATCTGGGACTAGAATGCAGAGTCTTTGGGTCCAGGGCTCTTTCCATGACCACACACAGAAGTCAGTGAGCTAACTCTGAATAAGTCAGGAGAACTCCCAGGCCATTTTCCCTAGCATCTCTCTGGACTTTATTATAGCTCTGAGCTCAAGCAGTAAAGAACAAAATGGAGACTTGGAGAAGATCCAAAAGAAAGACACAAAAATGACCAAAGCATTGAGTACAAGGCTTTGGACAGAGTAGGAATTTAACACATTTTTCTTGGAATTAGGAATAAATTAATTATCTGGATTGTTTTCAATCAATGAACAGGTATTTATTAAATGTCTACTCTGGGCCAGGCACTGTGCTAAGCACTGGGGATACAGTGGTAATAATGCCTCACCTTCATAAGGTGGTTTGTCGTTTACAAATAGCTTTTACATATATGAGGTCAGTTAATCCTCAAAGTAGGCAGAGATTATTGTCTTTACTTTACTGAGGCCAAGAGAAGGGAAACGACTTACCTAAGGTAGCACTAGTTAAAATAGCAATCACTGAAATTTATATGGAGCTCTGAAGTTTGCAAAATGCTTTATGCATAATATCTCACTCGATCTGTCCAACCATCTCAAAAGGTAGGTATAGGTATTAACTACTTCCAATTCCCAGGTGAGGAAATAGAAACTCATATAGGTTTAGTGAGTTTGCCATAGCTAGTAAGTGTCAAAGGTGTGTTTCTTACTGCAGATCCAGAATTCTATCTACTCTGCCATACTGCCTCTCAGTAAAGAGTAAAACCAGGAATGAATGAATGAATGAATGAATGTCTTTACCTCACTGGGCCTGTTTCCTCATTGTCCTTGGAGAGGGTTAAACTCAGATGACCTCCAAGGTCTCTTCAAGCTCTAAATCTATGATCCCAGAATGCAAAGCAAATGGAGAAAAGCTAAAGGACTGGTTTTATATTGCGTGGAGAGAAGAGGCTTATGGAGAGACTTTCTGACCATTGTCAGGAATGGGAAGGGGTGAAAGCTGGCCATGTTTCTGAGCTTCCCCCAGCATGGTGTGGCTGCTGACAGTTTCTTTAGGCCTGAGGCTCCAGACCAGAGAATCAGCTGACCCACTACCATGGGTGTACATGAACAGCTGGCAGCAATCAGAGCAGTGCTAGGTGGGGCAGAGATGGAGGAAAGAGCAAGAGAAAAAGAAGGAAAGAGTGTCCTCTCTAAAGTCCATCCTGCCTGTTCCCTTTTGTCAGCCTCATTCTAGGTCATGCATAATGGGCACTTGACCTCAGACAGGCCAGATATTATTAGACTCAGCCAAACCCGTGGAACAGGAAGACAAATTGCCTTGGCATGAGGTTGAGCATCAAAGGGTACTCTGCCAGGGAAAGCAAAGAAACTCAATGGAAGAATTTTGAGGATCCTTTACATGCCTCTTCATTCTGGACATATTGATTTATGTTGAAAAGGAGAAACCTAGGATTATAGAAGGGCCCTTTGAGGCCAAAGAATCACAGAACAACAGAGTGGGAAGGGACCTCAGAAGTCATCTGGGCCAGCCTGTGCCCTCAGAAGAACCCCTTCAGTAACATCTCCTCTGAATGAAGCTCTCTGGCAAGGGAGGTCTACCACCCACCATCCACCCTCCCCCCACCCCCAGCCCTTTCCCTTCTTATTAATAGGAAACATCTTTACACCAAGTTGAAATTTGCCTCTAGGACTTTCACCATTGGTCCTGGTCCTGCCTTCTGGGCCCATTCAGAACCAAGATAATTCCTTCTTCACACGATAGCCTTTCAAATACTTGAACACAGCTGTCACATCCCTCTAAGCTTTCCTTTTCCCAGGTCGAACCTCTCCAGATCTTTCAGTCTCCTCTTACATGGCATGGATTGAAGTCTCTTCACCACCTTGGCCCTCCTCTGGACCTTCTCCAGCTTATCAATATACTTCCTAAAATGTAGTGTCCAGAACTCACTACAAGGCTACAAATGTGGCCTGACCCATGCATGGGTCAGCTAGTGCAACCTTCCTGTCATGGCCCAATTGCCATCAATCTCTAACTTCTTCCTGGGGAGGCTGTGAGGCCATCTGCCAGAATGCCACCTTGCTTTGGTGCTGGCTACATAGAAAGCACATGCTGTACGTGGCTAGTGTCTATTTACTGTCTATTATCTTTCTCTCTTTTATACACACACACACACACACACACATGCACACACACACATATACACACACACTCTCTCTTTCTCTCTCATTCTCTCTCATATACCTATCAACTAACTAAATTATCATCTGTCTATCTATCTATCTATCTATCTATCTATCTATCTATCTATCTATCTATCTATCTATCTATCTACCTATCTACCCTAACATCTCTCTCTCTCTCTCTCTCTCTCTATCTATCTATCTATCTATCTATCCATATCTTTCCTTCAGACATCTGCGAATCATGATGACCATTCCAATATGTGAAATTTTCCCCAGTAAGGATCAAAACATCAGACTGGTGGATGTGCAAACCTTTCTCTCCTTTCTTCATGATCCCCTCCCAAAGAAAAGTGTGAAAGCCCCCTCCCCATTTTCCATTTTTATATTCATAAGATGAGTGATGATAGCAGAGATAAAAATAGTAAAGCCAGAAGAAGAATGTGTGGGGTTGGGGGAGAGAAAATAAGTTTTATTTGGGATATGTTGTTTCAACTGTTTGCAGGACACCCAGCTGGAGAGATCCTCTTGGCATCTGAAATAGTGTGACTGCAGAAATATTTCAGCATTTGGTGTTAGAGCACCTGGTCTTAAAACCCAGTTTTGCCAGGCCAGGGCAAAGCTCTAGTTGGCTGCTCTAAAGATGGCGTACCATAATCATAGGCATTCACCCCACCAGGAGCCAACAGCCTCATCACCTTATGTTTATTTTTTTTTCCTTTCCAGCTATTGTCAATCCAAAACAGCCCAAGGAGACACCCAAAAGCTTCAGCTTTGACTATTCCTACTGGTCCCATACCACGGTAAGCACAAACTCCTGTGAAAAAAATGTGAGCTGTCAAGACAGGGGGAATGAGTAGCTTCTCTAATTGCCTGCTCTTTGGATGTTTGGGCATCAGATATGTAACAAGGGAGACATGAAAACCAAGCAGCCCCAAGGCAGGAAGGGGGTCATCTACAAACTTGGGCACTGGGCCTTTAGGTAAATGACTGAATGCATAAATAAAACTACTTATTGACAAACCCTGCATTTTCTGTGTGAGCCAGGAAAGGGTTTTTTTGTAGTTAAATTGTCAGGGAAGGGGTTGGTTTGGTGAAATTTTACCTGGGAGAGCCAATATATAAGATATGATAGATCATGGCCCAACAATATATACAAATAACTATGCTTTCTAATACCAGTTGACCTCTTACTATCATGTTGGTCTGGAATTGGTCACAGGATGATCTAGGGCAGTCTACACTTTTTGTTTATCCTATGATTTGAATTATTTATTCCTTAGTTAAAATCAAAGACAGATAACATTGAAGATGGTTGCTTGGGATACCTCAACAATTAACAATTGTTTATAAATCACCTTCTATCTGCCAAGCTCTATGCCAGACACCAGAGATAGGAAGACAAAAATGGAACAGTCCCTAGCCTTAAGGAGCTTACTCCTAACAAAATGATCTCATCAGTATGGGTTCTCCCCACAGTGGCACAGATGGCAACCAATGCATGCCTTCCCATCCTGCATGCTTCTTGTCCATATCCTCCCAAAGGTCCTCCCTAGAGGATCTGCCCAAAGGAATTGGAGACCTCCTAAATCTTTGTCATCTCATGGGTCTCAGTGCAGTTCTCAGGGCTGCCCATCTGTTATTATTCACTCTGAGCACATAGAACCATAGATGTAGAGCAGGGAGGGACCTCAAAGACCATCTTCATGTTTATAAAGAAGGAAGCTGTGACCCAGGGAAGTGAGATGCTCTGTCCAAAATCACAGGGAGCAAGCAATGGAGGTGGGCTATCATACCCACCTTCCTTTCTGACCACGTTTCCCAGATGATATCATTCACACCACTAGTAGCTTGCAATCCTCTTAAACCCACCCTGTATCTCTCCAAGGTGAAAAATGTTCATTCTTTCCAGATTGTGGGGATTCCCATGATTCACAGCTTTATGATCTATCTAACATGTTTCGATGACCCTACATGATGAGCTCTCTGTGATGATAAGATCACAGATCCTTCATTAATTCACAGATGGATAGAAAAGTATGAAGAGCTTATGATCTGTAGCCAATATAGTGACAATCTGCCCCAACAAAGCTGAAGATCTCCTAGAGTATTTTCCTTCATCCTGACTCTGCTTACTACTTACTGCTTCCTGTGTTACTTTGACCAGGTTATATAATCTCTCTGATCCCCTCTGCTCCTTCAACTATCAAATGAGAGGATCAAACCAGATGATCCTCAAAGTCTCTCTCAGCTCTAAATCTATGAGCCATGATCTCTCCCATGCCTTCCTCCCCCTTCATTCCTCTCATGTGTTCACATCTTCCTTTTCTTTCCTAGCCTGAAGACATCAACTATGCATCACAGAAACAAGTCTACCACGACATCGGAGAAGAGATGCTACAACATGCCTTTGAAGGCTACAATGTCTGCATCTTTGCCTATGGGCAGACTGGTGCTGGGAAATCATATACCATGATGGGGAAGCAGGAGAAAGATCAGCAGGGCATTATCCCACAGGTAAGTGTGACCAGGATGAGAATGAAGACAAAGAGGTCAGGGTAGGATACTAAAGGAATCTACTATTTTTTTAAAAAGTGATAAGAATCAAAATCACAAAATCAACTTAAATTCAAAAGGAAATCTAACCATATCTTGATTAGAGAAAATGATTTCTAGGAAATGTAGAATCAAGTCAGACAAAAAAAAAAAGCTAAAACCAGGTGTGATCCCAGCTTTAATAGCCCCTAACACAGAGACTATGTTACTGTTCACATGTTACTGTTACTGTGTCCTTAAGAGGTAATAGGCAGGGGAGAATTCAGGAGAAATAAAAACAAAATTTCATTTTTAAAAATGAGAATAGAATCTTAGGAAATTAAAGTTTAACCCTCAGTCACTAAAGAGTTAACTCTTGTAGTTTGAGGGACTTTGAGGCACAGAGAGAAGACTTAGAGAATTTTGTCCTGAGAGACTCAGTCAACTGTCAAGGAGAGTCTTGAGAGCAATTATTTAAAGTTTACTTATTTATTTGTTTATTAATTAATCTGTCCCTCCCAATACTTCTCTCCAGTTAAGCAAAAATAAATAGATAAATCCCTCAGTGCACAGCTGCGTTGTCCAGCAATATAAATTTCCACAATGGCTATGTCCACAAATGTATTTCTCTTTTGTGTTTAAAGTCCTTCTCCTTGCCAGGAGGTAAGCAACGTGTTTGACTTTCACTCTTTAGGACTTCTGGTTTACCACTATTGCATTGATCAGAGTCCTGGAGCCTTCCAAAGTTGTTTATTTTTTCCCTACAATATTGTTGTAGTTATATACATTATTCTTCTAGTTGTGCTCACTTCTGCATCAGTTCATAAAGGTCTTTCCAGTTTCCTTTCAAACTGTCCATCCTCTATTTCTTATTGTATAACAATATTTCTTTATATTCACATACCACAATGTGTTTAGCCATTCCCCAATAGGACACCCCTTTAGTTTCCAATTTTGGCTGCCACAAAAAGAGCTGCTACAAATGTTTTTGTACATATAGGTCTTATTCCTCTTTCTTTGATTTCTGTGGGGTATAGATAGAACTGTTAGTGGTATAGCTGGGTCAAAGTGTGGGCATTTCAGTTACTTTGGGGGCATATTTATGAATTACTTGCCAAAATAACTGGTCCAATTCACAGATCCATCCACAGTGCCCTAGTGTGCCTATTTTCTCACAGCTCCTCCAACATGTTATTTTCCTGTCTTGTCCTATTAAGAGATATTTTGAGAAAACTTTATTCAACTCTCATTTTGTGAAGACATATTATGAAAAGAATTCTTGAAAGATTTGAATTACTGTCCTGAGAGAACTGTTTCTACAGTTGAGGAGGAATCAGTGAGAGTTTTCTATTTCACATTTCTTTCCCCTGCTTTTGAAGAACATAGAACAACTCTGGCTATGAACTTCATCCTCTGTGATACATCATAAGTGCTTTTCTCCCCCCTGCATTTGTTACTACTTTAACATATTGTATTAGCAGGAACACTTTCATTGTTTTAGTCATTGAGAACATGGGATTTGAGATTTAAAAAGAGAAATAGCAGAAGTTTATGTAAAAAAAAACCAAACAACCTGTTTCTGATGTATTGATAAACTGAGATGGGAGCTCAGTACTAATTAATTAATGAGAGAGAGTGTGTGTGTGTACATTTTTATCTATGAGAAAGTATCAGAAGAGTCCCCTTGATTGCCTTAGAACCTGGGTAAAGAATTAATGAGGAAATTATCGAGTAGCAGTTGGAGAAGGTGAGGATGATTGTCAACTAATGCATACCCAGTCTGAGACAGTCTCCATATAAGCTAGACATGAGATGTCATCCTTAAAGCCCCCACACTGGGGGTCATTTGGGATTTTTGTGTATTTTTCTGCAGGGGTATTTTACCGTCACAATTTACTCTCTCCAGATGATGGTTAAACTGTAACTCCCCAGGATTCTATTCCCTGTCAAAGAAACAGTTACTATATCCATCGTCTCTGTGTGATGGACTCTTGAATTTGGGCTTTAAAAGGCTAGAAATGTGAGGAGAAGGAACTGTGTGTCAACTGATCTGTAGATAATGGTGGGCTGCAGAGTGAGAATTCCATTGACTTTGGCAATGATCAAAGATCTGGAAAGCCTCAGGGTTCTTTGTTCTATACCAGAGTCCTTCAACCCCCAGATAAATACACAGAACTATGGGTACTAATACTGAAGAAACAGAAGGAATGAGACTGATCTCTCTCTCTGTCTCTCTGTCTGTCTGTCTGTCTGTCTGTCTCTCTCTCTCTCCCTCTCCCTCTCCCCCCCACTCTCTCTCTCCTCTGTCTCTCCAGCTCTGCGAGGACCTCTTTTCCCGAATCAATGACACAACAAATGATAACATGTCCTACTCAGTAGAGGTAAGGGTGCCCTTCTCCCTTAGGGTGGCCTGGGTGCGGGGGCCTGAAAAAATTTGAACTTGGCTTGAAAATAACATAGAATTGCATAAAGTAGAACCATAACAAAGAATTGTGTAAATAATGCTTGGGGAAGGAGGGTTGGGTTGGTCCTCCTGAGTAAAGGATCAGAGGGTGATGGGGAGGAAAATCCCCTCTGATTCTAAGTCTGCCCTGACAATCCAAGGGGAATGAAGGCTGAGGACAGTTTGCCCCAATTGGGTGCATTCCCCTGACCAGAACAATGCCTTGGATGGGGCAGAGAGGAAGAGGTGACAGATTAGGACTATCTAGGGGAGGTAAAGAGGGGAGAGATGATGAAGAATGAGGGTGGGACAAAGGACAATTTTTTTCCCAGTTGGGTCTAGTCATTCTGACCAATTCCCAAGAGAGGGGATTGGGGCAGAGAGAGGGGAGGTGTGGAAAGGAGGCAAGCAGAGTCAGGCGAAGGTGTGGCACCCTCTGGGGGAAAGTGAGCCCCAGGAGAGGGATGGGATAGTAATGGTTCTATTTCATACACAGAGAAAGTGAAGGGTGTAGAGGAGAGGGCTCATTGACAGAGGGTAGTTGGCTAGAACCACACTGGGCAATGGGGGTGGGGAGTATGTAGAAAGAAGAGGGACAGAGTACTTGTGGTGGCACAAAATTCTGGCCAGAGAACCTGAATCTCTGGGATGGAGACAAGGAGGAAGTATATTGGCACATCCCTCAGGAGGTCAGTGCCCTAGGGCAAAATTCCAGTTGCCTCACCTTTTTATAGCTCTTGGTTGACCCCTGAATATGATTGACAAAAAGGTCAGTTGATTTTATGCCCTATTTATTATTATTTATTCATTCACTCACACATTCATATAAGAAACATTTGTTGAGTTTTCACTGTGCGCAAGGTCCTGTGTCAGGAAGATGAAAAAGACACCCTGCCTTTGAGCAGTTTCCAAGCTAGCAAGAGAGGTCAGATAAGCACGCAGATCATTAGACAGGAACAGAACATGTGAAGTGCCCAGAGAGAAGCATGGCGAGCTCTGGCGGTACATACACAGTTATTGGGAATGCTGCCAGCTGGGGGAAGGAGAAGGGGATCATGGAAGGCTTCCTGAAGGAAGCGTTCTGCTGGATCTGGAATAAGAACCTAGTGAAAAAAGGTGTGGAGGTGGGGAAGCCCAAGAAATGTTTGCCAAATGGTGAGGGTAGTAGCCTAGCTAGGTGAAAAATAGAACACATGGATGGCAGTAGTGGGCAGTGAGACCAGAAAAGCAGGTAGCAGCCAGATCACCTCCTTTTCTCCCTCTGCCCAAAGTATCCAACTCATGCTCAGATGGAGCTCAGGATATCATAGTGTCAGCAAAGTGGGCTGCGATCCCGAATACACTTTGTCATGATAGTAACAAGTACACTTCTGTCCCAGTCTTCAGTAATCCTGGTGTGGGGCCCAGTTATAGAACAGGACCTCAGGGGATATATGCCTTCTGGGATGATGCCTAGAACCTCCACGTCCCACCTGTCACCAATGGACCCTTTTTGACCTCCCTGCCCTGTAGGTCAGCTACATGGAGATTTACTGTGAGCGAGTCCGGGATCTCCTGAACCCCAAAAACAAGGGCAACCTTCGAGTGAGGGAGCACCCCCTCATGGGCCCATATGTGGAAGACCTCTCCAAGCTGGCTGTCACCTCCTACAATGACATTCAAGATCTGATGGACTCTGGAAACAAAGCCAGGTGTGTGTGAGGGGAAGCCCACTCTCCTTAGACTCAATTATTCATCTCTCTTTCCTTCTGGCCCCCTTCTCCTTCATCTCTAAGGAATCTGCTTTAGTGAAGAGGGGAGAGAAAAGTCCTGGAAGTCGGGAACCCCCACCCCTACCCCGGGTTGTGCTCCTGGCTCTGTCATAATCTCCTCATCTCTCTTGTGGAGGTTGCAATCGCTGCCCCGTCTACCCTGCATGTCCGACCCTCTTATTTGACACATGAGGAAACTGAAGCAGAGGTTGAGGGATGGTCATCGTGACAGTCAGCTGAAATGCTTGGGAAAGTGTTGCGAACAGAGCCGTAATGAATCTCCTAGGAATTGTACTAGATAGATGAGAGGTAGTGAGCGGCCAAGAACAGGAAGACTGTGGCTCAAATCTCATTCTGAGACTTTGACACAGTGCATAGTATCATATAGCTTTAATACTAGAAGGAACCAGGAATCACCATGTCCATCTCTCTCATTTTACAAGTGAGGAAACTGAGTCATAAAGAGGTTGTGACCTGTCCACAATCACACAGATAATGAGGGCCTGAGATGGGGCTTGATTCCAGGCTTCCCTGAATCCAAGCCCAGTTCTCTACCCACGGTGCCATCCTGCTTCTCTCAGAGTAGCTGTCTGACCCTGGTCCCCACTTTTCTCTTCTGTAAAGCGGGTATGATACTGCTTTCACTTTGACAACCTTACAGCATCATATAAAGTGACATTCATTCATCCAACAAGCATTTATTAAGCACCTAATGTATGTGAGGCACTGTCATTCACATCTCTGATGCTAATTTACCACTTGGGGCTGTATGTGGAAAGAGCAGGGGGCTGGGAGTCAGGAAAACTCAGGTTCCTATTCTGCCTCAGATACTTGGTAGCTGTATGACCTTAGGGACGTCACCATTTAACATCCCCTGTGCCTGTTTTCTCTTCTGTAAAATGAAGGAGTTGGGTTTGGTGGCCCATGAGGTCCCTTCAGCTCTAAATCTAAGATGAGGGTTTAACAATAAGCTCTATGGGGAGGGGAAAATGTATGCAAGACACACTTTTAAATTAAACTTGCACTAGGAACATTTTCCCCATCACTTAAGTTTAGACAATTGACAGAGCAATATATCAAATCTGGGATTGGAGCATTTGTTGTTTTCTGAGGTATAAATACTCCCACAAATTTTAACAATGGACCTCAGGAGGAGGGGGTTAGAGCTGGCTCCAGCACTCCCCTCTGCAGGCTGCTCTGATCTATAAGACCATCCCAGCGGTAGAGGAGGCCAAGCTGGGGCCCCTTGTGATCCCTGACCCTCAGTGACCACAGCAAATATTTCCTTGAAGGGTAACATGGGACAACAAGAAGAGTACTTGATTGTAAGCCAAGAGACCTGGGCTTTGTCCTGACTAGAGGGTTGGCTATGGGATCATGAAGACCCCACTTTGAATCCCACTTCTGACACCCAGAGTGCACAATCCTGGGCAAATCACTTACCCTCTCAGTATTCCAAACTCTAAGACAACAGTCACAAAGCAGTAACTGATGATCACTGGCAAGAGTTTCAACAATGAAAATTCCTGCTGCTGCTGCTGCTGCTGCTGCTGCTGATGATATGATAAAATCATAGGTTCAGATCAGATCAAATGTGCTAGTAACCACTTGTGTGCTCCCATGCAAATCCCTTCACCTCTATCCCTTCTTCAGCTAGAAAGTGATACTCACGAGGAAAGTAGGCTGGATTTAGCTATGGAAATGCAGCCTGAAGCAGTCAGCGGCAAAAGCTGTGTGACCTGCCCCATCTCTGGGCCTCCTCAGTTTCCTCGCCTGTAAAATGAGGATGGCCATGCCAGCACCACCTTCTTCAGACAACTGTTATGAGGAAAGTACTTTGCAAATCTTAACTCTCAAGAGAATTGGGAGTTGCCACTGGTAATTTTCAGTTTGCAAGTGCAGGATTATAACAAAGCTCAGATAGACTCCAGGCTGTATAAAACTTTGAGAACGTTAGATCACTCTTGAAACAATATTGATAATAGCTTTATCAATAGGTTTATAGAGCATTTCACAAATCTTACTTCATTTTATCCTCACAACAACCTTGAGAGGTAGAAGCTATTATCATCTCTATTTTACAGTTGAGGAAGCTGAGGCAAACAGGGTTGTGTGATTTTCCCAGAGTTACTTGTCTAATAAATGTCTGAGGCCAAATTTGAACTCAGGTCTTCCTGACTCCAGGCCCAGCTATTTATCCATTGCTCCTCCTGGCTGCTGCCACATTCATTCCTCCTAGCAGTAAGGAAGGTATGAATTGGCCCAAATTATAGCTGAGTAAGCGGAGGCTCAGAGATTAAGTATCTAGCCCAAGCTCACACAGCTAGGAAGTGCTGTCACCAAGACCAGAATCCAACTCTTCTGGCTATTTGGACCAGCTCTCCTTCTCTGGGATGGCCATCCCAGTCCCAGCTGACCATTTCTCATCTTTAAACCCAGGGTCCTACTGACCAGCTTGAGTGCTGGTTCTGTGGGAAAGAGCTACCCCACTGAGGTCAATAGCCTTGGGATATGAAAAAGCTGTTGCTGGTTTCAATGGAGGGACCTCCCCCTCCCCAGTGCCCTAGCCTCATTGAATAGACTCAGCCCCTGCCAGCTGGCTGCAGGAGTCTGGTCAGTGACCCTCACTGGGAATTCACCTCAATGCTCCTTTCTCCAGGGCTGCTGCAGGCTCTGGGCACTGAGCCAGCCTCTTTTCCTTTTCAAAGAACCCCTAGCAGTTTGATTCAGTTCTCCATCTCCCAGCCTGGCTGCCCTCCGCTACCATGGGCCAGCTGCATGGGGGGTGGGAGAATTTTTCCCAGTCTTTGCTCCTCCTCTGCTTGAGCCCAAAGTTCGGGGTTCAGGCAATGATGGCCAGCAGGTATGCCCAGCTCTGGTGGATAAGACATCTTCCTAAGGCATGTATCAGTGTGGCCCTTTCAGAGTACAGTCTTCTCTGAGCATTTAGCTTAAGGATGCCGTGGTTGAAGGTCCTGGCCACCGAGGGATTGTCCTATAAAAGAGTCACTGTTCTGATCATCCTAGCTGCTTTCATGCCCACAATGGCTCTGGAGGTAGGCAGTACAAGTGAGAACTTCTCCATCTCCCAGATGGTGAGACTGAGACTGAGGCTCAGAGAACCTTGGAAGTACCAGAGCCAGAAACCCAGACAACAATGAAGACCTCTGAACAAGCCCAATCTCTGAGTTCTGTTCTGAGTGCCCAGCCTGGAGCTGAACAGTTCTAGGCTCCCAGCATGGGTGCTATTCACTAGGGGACTGGTAGCACATTGATGTCACACAAAGATTCATTAAAGGCATTGGGAATGTTTAGCCCAGAGAAGACTCGGGAGCCCCACATGGCTGTCCCAAAGGATTTGAAAGGCTAGCATTTAACAGCTTTGTTTTGCTTGGCTCCAGAGCACAGACCCAGGAGCAGTGGAGTGAGTGAGTGGCCCTCATAAAGATGCCAGTTTAGGCTGAAGGTCGGGGAAATCTTAGCAGTGACAGCTGTCTGGCAGTAGGTGGCCACGGCTTGGGAAGGGTGGGATCTGCCTCCTTGGAGGTCTTCCACAGAGGCTGCAGGGCCACTTAGGTGTGTCTGTGTGGGCTGGACAAGAGGCCACTGAGGTCTCTTCCAGCTGTCCCACCCTGTGACATTCTGTGCTTCCTTTGTGCAGTGGGGACCCTCTGCTCAGCACTGCCTCCCTCTCATGCTGCCACCATCAACGCTGGAGTCAACAAGTAGCAGCTATTTGAGTCACCATTCATTCATTGATCCCCAGTTAGGTGATTGACACTGGACTGGGAGCTGGGAATACAAAATCATGAACTAGCCCCTGCTCTCAAGACACTTACATTTGCCTGGGGTCTCTGTGGCAAATACTGAGTCAGGCTGTCCCAGATGGCAATCAGGTTAATCCCAAATGTCTGCACTTCGTCCAAGGCGGGAGGGAGAGGCTGTAGTCTGCCCCTCTGGGGAAGCCAGCCTGGGCAGTCTCTACTATCAGTCCTCCACACAGACACCAAACTGAGATCTTACAGCACAGTGTGAACATGTCTCTGCCCTACTCAAGAAGCTTCACTGGCTCCCTGTCACCTCTAAGTCAAAAATCCCATTTAGCTGTGAAAGCCTTTCACAGTCTGATTCCTCTCATAAATGGCATCTACCCCTCCCCTATACAAAGGCTGTCCCCCGTTTCTGAGGTGCTTTCCCTTCTAATCTAGGACTTCCTGGAAGGTAGATACATACCCTACCTCACCTACTGCCTCCCTTCAAGTCTCATCTAAAGTGCATCCTTCTATGAGAGGCTTTCCTCAATTTCTTAATCCCCCTCCCACACCCACCCCCCAGCTAGTCTGTCTGTATTTGGTGTGTATTTATTGAGCAGCACTTTGCTGCAGTGGATGGTGAGGTGATCTCAGAGTCAGGAAAACCTGGGTTCAAGTCCTTCCTTGGACACTCACCAGCTGAGTGACCCTTGGCTGGTCACTTAACCTCTGGGCTGTGAGCAACCCATTAAGACCATAGTTCAGGGAAGAAATAGGCCTGCTCTAGTAGAGGGAATTTCCTCATTATGCCAACGAACTCACAGATCTGGGTTTTCCCCACTATTTTGTATTCACTTTCCTTGAGCACATTTCCCCCTCAGTAGAATGTAAGGGCTTGAGGGTAGGGAGTTTTCACTTTTGACTTTGTCTCCCCAAGTTTAGCAGCCTCTTGTACCCAGTGGGTGGGTACCCTCTGAGTGTTCGGTGAATTGCCTTAGGAAGCCCAAGGCTGCTGATTAGCTCTGCCTCTGGCCTGGGGGTGACTATACAGGAAGGGATGGGAAGGATGTGCTTGGATTATTTACCTTTGATGGTTTAGAAATGAATCACATCTTCCCTGCTAAGCTCCTGCTATTCAGCCACATCCCTGCTTCTCAGACGAGGCCCAGTTACCATGGAGATCTGGCTCCTAGTCCCTTCTTCCTGCATCCAGGATGGCCCTGAAGCATCCATCTGTCTTCCCAGGGGGCCAGAAAACATAGAGAACCCAAATCATATCTAATCTTGGAGGTAGCGGAACAAGAACACCTAGACAGAGCCAAAAAGGATCTCATCTAAACTTACCCTTTCATTTGACAGAGGAAGAAACTGAGTCTCAGAGAGGAGAAGTAACTTGTCCAAGGTCATATAACAACTAATGGAGATACAAATCCACTGAGAAATATTCATGGCATAGTAGATACAGAGCCAACCTTATAACTAGGAAGATGGGGGTTTGGAGTCACACCTGGTTGTGTGACCAGGGACAAGTCACTTAGCCACTCCATGCTCCAAGCAGCTCCCTAAGATTGCAAATGGAAGAGAAGGTACAGACCTGGGAGTTCTACAAACTGATAAAACCACAGATCGAAGTCATCTCCCTTAATTTCCAAATACAAAACAAGGACAGGGAAGGAGGCTGGATTCTATCTCCTGTACATCATGTTCCTTCAGAACTGAAACCTGAGGTCCAAGAACAAATGTCCCCAAACACAGATGCTCCGGCTGCCCAGGGCTGCCCATGATGCCCCAGCTCTCCAGGCCAGGGAGTGCTGGCACTCCAGAATTGCATTGTTAGACCCTACCGTGCTTGCCTCTTACTGTTACAGCTCTAGAAAGGAAGCAATCAAGGGCAGCTCGGAGACATCCTGCAGAGCGGTGGATACAAACACCCCATCTTCCACTGCCTGATAGCTCCTGCCCTTCTCCTGCCTCTAGCCTGACCCATGCAACCTTTGGGCCAGTCCCTCAGCAGGAGCAGGAAATTGGGGAGGGGGTAGATAGTGACAGGCATGGTGATGGCAAAACATGGGTTCAAATCCTACCCCTGACAATAGCTGTGTGACTCGGAGTCTCGGTTTTCTTATCTGTAAATATTAGCACCTGCCCTATTGTGGGGACAGAAGGCAATAATGTCTGTAAAGCACTTGGCCAGTCTTAAAGCATTCTGCACATGAAGTCATTATCCCATCATGGCAGTGAGAAAGCGGATGAATGGGATTTAGTGTATATTCCTTTTTCATTTCTCCATGGAAATGACTGATCAGCAGTGGCCTGTGTGGCCTTGGACAAGTCATTTAACCTCCTTCTGCTTTAGTTTTTTCATCTATAAAATGAAGGGGTTGGTCTTGATGGTCCTTTAAGGTCCTTCCAATGCCGCATCTTTGATTCTGTGATCTCATGACCTTCCTGCACCTAGGTGGCTAAGCAATATAGGAAGACTTGAGTTCCAATCCAGTCTCAGACACTTACTAGCTGCATGACCCTGGGCAAATTCCTCTCTTGGTGTTAGTTTCCTCAACTGTAAAATCAGATCATGATAAAACCTGCCTCACAGGGTTGGTGGGAAAATCAAATGAGATGATGTTTATAAAGTGCCTGGTACACAGTAGGCACTTAATAGGTGCTTGTTCCCTTCCCCCTTTCTATCCCCTTTCTGTGCCTCAGTTTCTCCCTCTGTAAAATGAGGGGCTTGGACTCAATGACCAACAATGCCCCTTCTGTCTCTCTCCATCTAGAATCCTGGGATCTGTCCAGCATCACGGACATTTCCCCTGCCTGGTCTGTGGCGGATAGTCAGCCCAGCTAAGAAGCCTTAGAATTTCCTAACACTTCCCATTTTTTTCTGCACAGGACGGTGGCTGCCACCAACATGAATGAGACCAGCAGCCGCTCCCACGCTGTCTTTAACATCATCTTCACACAGAAACGCCACGATGCTGAGACTAACATCACCACAGAAAAAGTAAGTGTCCTGAGTCCTTAACTTACTGGTGGTCAGGAAGTGAAGCCTTGGTAGTTTCGTGGAGACAAAGGCTTAAATAAGACAGCGGTTAGGAGTGACGGATCGAGAGCCAGGAAGACCTCAGATACTTGCTCTCTGTGTGACCAGGTGCAAATCCTATCACTTCTGTGAGCCTCACTTTCCTCATCTGTAAAATGGCTAGGGTAATACCTAGAGTAGGAATTTCCAAAGGTGTTTGGGAAGCTCAAATGAATTAGTGCCTGTACAACATGTTGCAAACTTTAGAAATGTCAGTGAGTATATTCAGTGATTGTATTTATAAATATATATACATCTCTCTCTCTATCTATCTGTCTATCTATCTATCTATCTATCTATCTACACACACCTTTCTCTCCTCCCCTCCAGAAAGGAGGGCTCCAGCCTTGGAAACCGAACAGCTCCAAAATGCTGTCTGGGGCCTGGCATTGGGCATGCAGGAAGAGGCGCCATCTTTTTGGTTGTCAAATCTGTCCCTTGGTCTTGGAGTGACCTGGAATGAAGGCCATGAGTGTTGCCCCCATTTGGAACCAATTAACAAGCTCCCACTCTCTGCTAAGCGAAGCCTTGGTTCAAACCATGACGAAATTTGGGACCATAGAATCTAGCAGGAACTCCAAGGGTCCAGACTAGGGGAAGGAGTGATGAGGAAATGGGCCCAATCACTGATTCATTTATGTCATTTATATGTCATTTCACAAGGCCCTTGCTTTTGGGGCAAAGCCAGGAATCCTGGCAGGGCATGAAAGGAAGCCTCCATTTGGCTTAAGGAAATGACAAACACGAAGGGGAAAAGAGCCCATAATCTAGGCATTGATGAAGGATGGTCAAAAAAGTCACAAATATTCTCCTGGGTTACAGGAAGCAGGACCTGGAGCTAAGAGAGGCCTGGGTTCAAATCTCTCCACTCGCACTTAGTTGTGTGGTTATCAGCAAGACACCCCACCTTTCTAATCCCTCATCTATGAAACAGAAGGGAAGAGAGGGAAGGGGTAATAAAGTACTTTGCAAATGTCAAAAGGCTGTGCAAACACCAATAATCATTGTTCTACCCATCATTCAAGGCCTCCTTCAAATGCCACCTCCTGTGGGAGGGAAGCCTCTTCCGCTGCCCCCCTCCCCTGGCTCAAAAGGATCTCCCCCTCTCTTTAGTCATTACCCTCCTCCATTTTGTAGTATGTGTTTGTAGCTCTGTGAACTTCAAGGAGTCTCTGCCCTCCTACAGCTACTCAGAGATCACAAGGAGCTCTGGAAGTGGGGTCCCAGCTGTCCTGGCTGGGGCTGTTGGCCTGGTCTTCTTTGTCCTCTTTAGACCCACAGGAGTCTCCGGAGCGTCCCCTAACACCTGCTCTGACTTGACTTTCAGGTGAGCAAGATCAGCCTCGTAGACCTGGCAGGGAGTGAGCGAGCTGACTCCACAGGAGCGAAGGGCACACGCCTCAAGGTGAGATTGGCGTGACTCTGCTCTTGGACAGTCTCCCTGTGATGCCACCTCTGAGGACAGAGTGTGTGGGGTGACCTTGGGAGCCTGGCACCAGCGTGCTGGAGAGCAGGATGCTGAGGCAAGGCTGGCAGTCTTCTCACTCCTGCCTCTTGGAATCTTCCCTCGAAGCCCAGCTCAGGGGCATCCTACAACCCTCCCCTTTTTACTGAGGCCCCCCTTTCCCTGTCTCTCTGTCTCTGTCTCTGTCTGTCTCTGTTTCAGTCTCCCTCCTTTTCTGTCTCTCTCTCTCTCTCACTCTCTCTCTCTCCCCCCTTGCTTTCTCTCTCTCTTCCTCCCTCCCTCTCTCTCTCCCTCTTTCCTCTTTCTCCCTCTCTCAATTGTTTACTTTGGATTTACTCATCTTTGTACCTACTGCATTTCCCCCATAGAATGTAAACTCGTTGAAGTTCCACCATTTCATTTTTGTTTTGTATTATTTTAAGTGCACAGAACAAAATCAAAACTTAACACGTTTGTTGAGTTTAATCTCATGGAGGCCAAGGGCCTTCCCCTTTTGAGAATATGGCAGACCCACCAGACAAGAGCATAAGGAAGGGAATAGAGTGATGCCCTGGGATAACAATGCTTCCCTTGGGGTAAGCTAGCAACCATAAGGGTTGGCTCGTTCCCTCGGGGTGGTGCTAGTAAGACGGAGTCTAGAGCTAGGTGTGAGGAATGGAATCAAATCTGGCAATTACCCTGATCACTACATGGTCTAAGGAATGGTAAAGGACTTAGGTTGAGGGGAATGCCCAAATAAGTAAAATCTTAGTAACAAAGACAGTGCCATTTTCTAGGAGATCCTCATCAAGTTAATTTCTTCTGGGGATTTAGATCTTTCCATCTTTAACAGACTGAGTATGACTGTGGTCAGCTACAAATGCACATATGTGTGTGCATGCATTGTGTGCGTGCACATGCCTGCGAGGTCCACAGATGGGAGATGGAATGTCATATTAGGAGAACAGCAAGTAAATGGATATGGCTGGAATGCAGAGACCATTAGGTAGAATAATGGAAAAGCAGGCTTGAAAAGATTGTGAAGGGTCTTATAGACCAAATAAAGGAGTGTGGATTTTATTCTAAAAGGAATAGGGAGCCACTGAGGTTTCCTGAATAGAGCAGTGACACTAAAAAAAAGCTTCTAAAGGAAATCTATTTTGACTTGTTTTCCAACATTGGGGCTTTCTTCCCTCCAACAGGAAGGAGCAAACATCAACAAGTCCTTGACCACACTGGGAAAAGTCATCTCTGCCCTAGCTGAAATGGTGAGTTTGACTCAAGAGCTATTTTGTAATCAAGGGGACATCTTGGCTAGTTAGGAAGGATCTCTGGCTGTAGACTCCACCATGCCAGTTCTGCTGTGGACCTAAGATAGGGGCAAAGATGATTTTAAAGCTTCCTGCATATATATTTTCTAAAGATCAGGTAGGTTAGTTTCCTGAAGATCTGGTAGGACCCAGCCAAGTACAGTGCCAATTTCTTCTCTAGTTCAGCTATGTAATATACAGTAATTTTGAGATAAATACTAGGACTGGTAGTCCTAGGGAAAGGGGAGTTGATTATCCTGGACACCCCTCTCAGACCCTCTGAGAGCCAGATTTCCTTCCTGAAATCCTCTATTCTTGGATCCAATGGCCTTCTTCTCCATGGGCCAGGGAACTTGTGCTTTTGCAAGGACAGTTTGGGGTAATTAGCAGAATCAGAGATCTGAGTCACCAGAAGCCCTTCCAATCCCCTTCCATCTGCTATTTTCTAATATGTGACAGACAGCTGTTGAGACATCCACATTTCTCTTTGGCTTGCTTACCAGGACCAGCATGACGGAGAGGCAACTGGTCCAGAGGGATGGTTTACTTTAGCAATGCCAGCAATTCATTCCCCAGTCTATTGTTTTGGCCTCTACGTCCTGTCAGTTCATCATGATTTGCTTTTCTTAGCATTTCTAAGTTAGTTTCTCTGTTTTTTTTTTCCAGGATTCTGGACCAAACAAGGTATGTGGCTCTCTGTTTTCTTTTGATATTTAGAAGAGTATCCTAGAGGACAAAAGTAAGGCTTGGGATTGGGGAAGGAACTCAGGATCATCTCATAGGAAAGCCACTGGGCTGAAATTCCCCCAACCTCACATTTCTGCCCTTATCTACCACTGTGACCTAGAACATTTATAGTTCTGTGCCTTGTTTTACTTTCCTGTAATACCTGGAATCATCTCCTTCCCAGCCCATAGGGTGATGGAGATTAAATATAAAAAGAACTGGGCTACTCATTTAAATCATGACCCTGGATAAAATGAAGGGATGATGAATTACTGGACACATTTTTTAAATCTCCTTTCCCAGTTATCTTAGAGATGCACAATTGGCAGTGGGATGGACTAGTTGACCTCTTGGGTCCACTTGGGTGAGGCCCCAGGCAGCATTCAATTGTTTCTCCGGTCTACTGCTCACCCTTGTCAAACAGTGGGCTTTGGGCTTCCTGGGTCCTCAACTATCTCTCTTTGTGAACAACACAAAGTCCTTTGTAGTAATCCCCACAGTGAAACCCAAAGACTGCTTGAGGCTGTGGACCATCCATTGCAGCCTGCTGATTAGGAGACAAAGCAAAGAGATACCCATTCCTCATAGTCCAGGTTTACAAGGGCACTCCTGGGCCTCAGAGGGCCTCTGATGTAGAGCAACCTTGAGGGACTGTGTCCCTCCAATCTCAGCCCCAGGCAGAGGCTGCCAGTAGAAGCAACAATGCTCTGTCTGTCTGCAGAGGAGATGGGTGGGAATGCCTGGCCTGGCCTCCATCATGCTTCTTGTTGGTTCCTGGGCTTGGGCACAAGCCACTTGGCTGGCCCACCAATCTGCCTCTCATGCCCTTCTTCTACCTGCCAAGGGGCTCACAGGCTTGACCTCCTTGGATTCTTCCTTTTCCTCCTGCAGAATAAAAAGAAGAAAAAGACTGATTTCATTCCATACAGAGACTCAGTGCTGACCTGGCTCCTCCGGGAAAACTTGGGTAAGGAATCTTCTTTCCGCCCCGCTGCTTCACATTCAGCCATCATCGTCTTCCTCCTACAGTTCCCTGGCAACGAGCCTTCGGGGCACCAAGTGGGCCTGCTTCCTGATGGGGAGAATGCTTGGTTTACTGCTTCCTCCATCCACCTTCCTCAGGAAGGATGATGGGCCGTTGGCTGGGAAAATTGTTACTCTCCCTGGGAGACAAGCAGAATGCAAAACTGCAGGCACATTTGGGTCAAAGAGGGCTGGTCCAATTTCCAAGCTTTCCCGAGGTCTGGGATTAGCCCCTTGGGATGCCGTGAGCTTGAGGAGTGGGTGTGAGATGGGGGAAAGAGTCCTGGCTTTGGAGTCAGAGAACTTGGCTTAAATCTCACCTCTGACACCACCTGTGGGATATTGAACAAGTCCCTAAGCTCTCTGACACTCAGTCTTCATGTCTATAGAATGAGAGCATCCAACTAGATGGCCTCTGAGGTTGGGCCCACTCTAAATCTACGGTCCTGTGGTTCTACTCCACGCATGTAAAAGTTGTATGACTCTGGGAAGATTACTCCCCTGCCCTGGGCCTCAGCTTCCTCATCTTTAGAATGGGAGTAGATGAATGGGGTTGGACTGACGAGGAGCATGGATGGGCCTAGCTAGATGATCCAACGTTAAATGATAGAAAAGGGGCCACGCTGGGGCCTTGAAGGAGGATAAGTGGCTTCTGAGATAGGTCTGGAGCTCTGTGAACTGGGGTTCCTTCTCAGCTGCACCGATGACCCCTGGATAATTGCACACAATGGGTCCCAAAGGAACAATTCTGGGGCCAAAGGCAAACACAGTGAAACAGGCCCTACCATGAGCTTCACCCATGGGGTTGGGGAGGAGGAGGACGGTGGAGGCCAGCAACCAGAGGACCAATCCTAGGTCAGTGGCAGCATCTAATCCAATCCCCTCGTTTTATGGAGGAAGAAAATGAGGCCCAGAAAAGGGAAGCCATTTACCCAAGGTCACAGAGGCAGGACATCAAGGAGAGACTGGGGGATTTCAGGATACAGGATCTCTCAACAGAGACCTGGGGGCCCTGCTCTGTGGTAGTAAGGCAGAGACCCGGGCATAGGGGCAGAAGGAGAGGGAATACCCTGGAAGTGTAATGGGGTTTGGTGAAAAATCAAAATGAAAGCCTTCATCCTAATGGCCTACAGGCATGATCATGGCTGCCCAGAATCATGAGGTCTTTGCCAAATGGTTAGAGGAAAGAGACCGATTGCTCCAAGCTGAAGAAATGGGCATCTCAAGATCTATCAAAATCCATAGTCAAAGTCCCAATCATAACTGGCCCAAGCCAGGAAGGCATACATCTCACCTGTGGACAGCCATTCTGAGCCTCAGTTTCCTCATCTGTAAAATGTAGATAATAAAACCATCCCACCCCACCCCAGAGGGCTGTAGAGAGGGTCACATGAGCCTGTGTGGTGTCTGGCAAACCTTAAAGCAATCTAGACATGTCAGCTCCTATTATGTCTAAACAACAACACAGTGAGGTACAAGCTAGAAGCATTATTGTTCCCATTTTATAGATGAACAAAACTAAGGTCTGGGTTTGCAGTCTTTTAGGTAGCTAATAGGTCATCAAGTCAACAAGCATTTATTAGGAACCTATTCTGTGTTAGGCACTGTGCTAAGAACTGAAGGAAGGAAGGAAGGAAGATTTGAACTCAGGTCTTCCTGACCTTCAAGTCCAGAAAGATCTCATCTGTGAAAAATGAGGTAGTCATGGCTGATGGTGTCAAAAAAGAAGCTTCCAGTTTCCTAGGAGGAAAGAACAGTGAATGATGGTTGGTACTCAATTCCTCGTGGGGCTGTTTCTGAGGTGTGGTGCTGGGGTGTTTTGTTTTTCCTACCAGGAGGTAATTCCAGGACTGCTATGGTGGCAGCTCTGAGCCCTGCAGACATCAACTATGATGAGACCCTCAGCACTCTGAGGTAAGACCTGGGGGGCCAGAAGTAATCTCTACCATCTATACCCTCCTTGAGGGGAGGAAAGTGATGCTGTGGCCATCTCAGACAACAGCTACCCCAGCTACATCCCCCCAGCATTCCCCCATCATCACTTATTTAAATCTAATGAATGTTTCCCCTCAAGGCCCCTTCACCTCAAGATGTGCTCTCAAGGCTATGAGAAAGAGGGATGACAACAGGCCTTTTCCCCCTGGTTCTATCTTCTATCCTACCCCACCCTCCTCTTGAAAGCACAATGGATTATCTTGGTTGCAGCCATAGGCCCAGTTGGGAAAGATCAGATGGGATGGAAAGCATTGAGGTGCCCGGGAAGGAAGGGGCTTGGCTGGGGGGTGGCAGCTCCTAAGTCAGAGATGACCATGAGTCACCTGATGTTAAAATGTCCTCATCACAAGGACATTTATAGGCAACCTGGAGTCAGTCAACCTGGATTTGAATGCTGATTTTCCCACTTACAACCTCTGTCACTTTAAGCAAATCACTTACCTCCTCTGAGCCTGAGTTTCCCCATCTTTAAAATGAGGCTGTTATACTACACAGCCTTGAAGGTCACTTCCAGTCAACCTTAAGCAAGTCACTCCCCTGCTTCGTGCCTCAGTTTCCCCATTTGTAAAATGAAAAGGTTACACTAAATGGTCTCTGAAGTCTCTTTCAGCTGTAACTCTATAAGCCTATGCCTTTGTGTGTGTGTGTGTGTGTGTGTGTGTGTGTGTGTGTACACACATAGTCATACATATGCAAGAAACAGACAGACGGACAGAGCAGGACCTGGAAAGCCCACACCAAAATTTCATCAGTGGCTCTAGAAGTGGCTTGAATTAATGGAAGATAATTAGAAGTCATTCCATTATCTCTGCAGCAAAGACTGTCTGAGATATGATTGTCTCCATATCGGGGTGCACCTGACCCAAAGCAACCATATTCCTGTCATTTGGAATTCCAAAGTACCAATTATTTCACTCTGACTCCAAATTAATTTGGTCTTTGATCTTACAAGTAGGTGGCCTGACTGTCCCCAGGCAGCTGATTCAGAAATAACTCCCACACCACTAATGAGTCATTTCCTGTCTCTTAAAACCTAAGCCTTTCACTTTTGTGATGTCATTCAAGGCTCACTAGGTCCAGCATCTTCTGGATCTGTTCACCAAGAATATATTCCTGATGAATGGGCCCAATGCTTCTGGATAGGCTATCTGTCTTTGCTATCTTTATAGGCTATAAGTCTCTTGTGACTTATTCTTATGCTCTTGGCCAAGTTACCCTATTCTCACTTCTGTACCAGTCTCCAACTCTGAGGTTTAATTCAGAGGCTCTTTCTGAGTTGTCAAATTCCTCTAGTGTTGGAGTCCTGAACCTTATATATTATTGTTATTGTTATTCATTGACTGTCTAGTGAAGTCTCCAGACCCCTACTCAGAATCACATTTGTTGCCTACATTGTCAACTGAAAGAATTGCTACATTTCAGTCAGAGGTTAACGAAAGTAAAGATGTCATTGTTTGTCCCCATCCAAGTTCATGGATCCCTTGAAATCTATTCCTAGAGAGGATTCTTGAACCCCGTGAACAACTCCTGCTCTGGTGTGTGGGTTTTTTTAGCTACTTATCCAAAGTCTCCAAAATTCCCCGAAGCCTCTTGCTCCTGTCCTTCCTAATGTCCTCATTCTGGGACAGTCATTTAATCTCTCTGAGCCTAAGTTTCCTCAACTGTAAAATGAGGGAATTGGGCTAGATAGACTGGGGTCACTTAGATTTAGAATCCAATGATTGCTGCCTCAAGATGGTTCAAGTCTACAAAGTATATTTATTATGCCGCATCGGGTTGCTGACGGTCTTCTGAGAAGCAGTGGGCATTGCCTGGTGCACTGAGCACTTCTCTCCTCTTTGCAGATATGCTGACCGGGCCAAACAGATCCGATGCAATGCCGTCATAAATGAGGACCCCAACAACAAGCTAATCCGGGAGCTGAAGGACGAGGTGGCTCGCCTGAGAGACCTCCTGTATGCCCAGGGGCTTGGGGACATCATTGACAGTATGTATCCTGTGCTCCTACCTACTGCACGTGGTCCATTTTCATGGACTAAAGTTCCATGTCCCTGTTGAAGGGCTGGAGCAACTGGACCTCAGACAGAAAAGTGCTAGCAAATCGGGACATAGGAAGTAGTCTTCCCAAAGGAACCCAACCTGTCCCAAGGTCTTCTCTAGGAATCTCTTCTTTCCTCTCCTCCTCTATCTCTTCGTCTCTTCCTAGCTCCCTTATTCCCTTTTCCCCTCCCTCTCTCTCCTTTCATCCCTTTACTGCTCCATGGCCAGTGTTAAGTTGTCTGGCCTCTCCACCCCTGCAAGAGTACCTCCTGGTTCCAAGGGATGAAATACAATCTACACCCTGATTCCTAGGGATTAATTGCCCTGTCTCTCAAGTGAGTCCCCTTCTTCTGAAGGGGGATGTCCATTTGGAAAGGTGAGGGATTTCCCCAGCTCCCAGGGCTAGGTTTGTCACTAGCCAGGTGTGGGGTAGGTACCAGGATGGATAAGAAAGGCCCTTCCTAAGCCAGAGTTAGAGCTTGATGGAGCTATGGGGGTGGGGGGGCAGGAAGAGAGCCCCAGCATGCCACCCGGCCTGAGCAGGCACCACATGAAATCAAATCCTGCCACCCCCAGCCTGACAGGGATGGATGACTCTGTTGGCTTCAGCTCCCAAGTCCTAGAGAGTTAAACCTGTTGTTGTTTTGTTCTCTTTGTCTTTCTTGCCCACTTTCCCTTTTCTCTTAGCCAACACTGTGCCAGGAGGACCTAAATGTGTGTATTTCCCTTTGCTGATATCTCTGTGTGCTTCACTGCTTCTGAGAGAATCAGTCATTGGCAAGGAACATAAGTACAGCATGGGATGGGAACCCCTAGACGGGCACTCCAAGGTCTGCGATCACGGCCCAAGGCCAGGCTCTGGCATCCCCATGGAAACAGATACCTGTCCTCTTACTCAGCCACCCTTTCCCCTTCCTGCCACTTTCTTGCATCTCCCTCCACATCACAGGCCTGTGGGATGAAAGAGGGGCAGTCCAGAGCCACCTGCTCTGCCAATCACTACCTGGGTGAGCCTAGACAAGTCACTTCAACTTTGGGGCCTCAGTTCCCTCATGCCAAATGAGGATACTAGACTAAATGAGCTCTAAGGTCGCTTTCAGCTCCAGATCCAGGACACAGTGGCTATAGGAAGAGGAGTGTCCTGGCGCTTCTAAAATAAGGACTGAGGAAGGCAAGGGCATGAAAGTCACTGGACAATTGATGTCACTGTCACCTTCCATGCCGGCCTAAAGGGCGGAATTTGCCAAGTGGTTAGTCTTGACTCTATATAAGTGAAAACTCGCTAACAGTTAGAGCTTCCACAAGTGGAATGGGCTGGCTCCCAAGGGGCTTGCTACTCACTGGAGGACCACTTGTTTGGGGCAGTACAGAGAGGGTTCCTGCTCAACTCTCAGTTGGCCTGTGGGGAGCCTTATAGCTCTTCGAGCCAATGGTCCTGGACCAGCTCGAGGCTGACCTCACAGGACAGTGAGCCATCCTCAGGGGCTCCAGTGCCTGCTATAGGGCAGGAGTCCCCTACTGTTTGTGGGGAAGACTTGTTCCTATCTGCCAGTGACCCCGAGGTCAATGATGAAGTCTGGGATTAGGAGTGGAAGAGATTCTGCTGGTCAGGTGGTAGACAGTGAGGCTTGGGGAGAAGTGACTTTGAGTGGCAGACATTTTCATCTGGGTATGCCTGGAAGCAAGATGCTGCCTGTTGGAGGCTTGAAGGTAATTCAGTTCAATTCTGTAACAAGCATTAATTAAGCCTCTACTAGCCTGAAGTACCATACTTGGTACAGGGGATACTGAGACCAAAGTTGAGCAGGCCCTGCCCTCAAGGAGCTTATGTTCTGATCAATCCATATGTGGTTATTAAGCCTCCACTCTGGGCTAGGCACTGTGTTAGACTCCTCCAGGTGCTTCTCCCCCTCCAGGAGCTCCTGTAAATTCCTGTTAGGGATTCAGAGACAAAAAGAAAACAAGCCCTGCCCTCAAGGGGCTAATGTTCCAATTGATCAATCAATTAATCGACAAGAATATATCAAGACCTACTATGTCCCATACACTTGCTAGATACTGGAGATATAAAAGCAAGCAGAAAAAGGCCCCTGCCCTCAAGGGGCTTACATTCTACTGGTAGGATAAATAAAACATGCACATATTTTGGTAAATCCAAAGTATCCGTGCACATTGGCTAGTGGTTAGAGGGCTGGCCTTGGATTCAAGTCCCAATTCTGACATGTACTAGCTATGTGACCCTAAGCAAATCATTTAATCTTGAAAGGTTCTAGGAAAGTCTCAAAGACTCTATTTCAGAAAAGGTGCCAACCTACACTGATAGAAGGAATCTCTCCACCTGGAAATTCACTATACTTGTGAAATGTCCCTCAATACAATGTAATTGCCACAGGGAGAGAGCATTAAAAGATGAGTAGGTCAGGAAATGTGTCCTGTAGAAGGTAGAGCTTGAGGGGCAGCTGGGTGGTGCAGTGGATAGAGCTCCAGCCTTAGAGTCTGGAGGTCCTAAGTTCAAATCCGGCCTCAGAAACGTAACACTCACTAGCTGCGTGATCCTGGACAGGTCACTTAACCCCATTGCCTCAAAAAAAAAAATAAAAGGTAGCACTTGAGCTAAGCTTTGGAGGAGCCTGGGGATTCAAGAAGTGAGGAGATGATATCTGAGCCATGATAATCATTTCTAACGGAAATGTGAAGGGTTAGAGTAGGGAGCTGGCTATCAGCTAAGCTGGCCCTCAGGGCTACATAGCTGGGGCCTTCTGACTCCTCCAGAAGCCCCTCCCTTCCAGGAGCTCATATAAACTCTTGGCTTCTCTATGAGAATTTCACTGGAGGCAGGAAGCACTGCCTCAGTTTAAGGAAATGAGCCTCGAGGTTGGAATCTGGAGAAAGACTCTCAATGGTCATATCAAATCATGCGTTCCTCCAGACAGAACCTTCTCCAGTTGCATGTCCTTCAACACTGGTGAGAGACACGAAGTAAAATTCAAAGTGAGTCTCTTCACAAAAGTCATCCTCCTCCTCCTTATCAAGACAGAGGTGATGCTGAGGTCCCAAAGTAGGTGCAGGTAAAGCAGAAGGTGTAGAGGTCTCTCTCATGCAGGAAAGGCCTTGATCAAATGATCCCCAAGCATTGAGGAAGCATCCACTATGGACATCCCCTAACTGAGCCCTGGTCCAACTGGGGATGTTAGGGCTCATTACTGGAAGGGAGACCCTGGTGAGAAGTCTGGGAATTCTGACAATACAAGCAAGCTTGCTAGATCACCCTGATAGGAAGCTCTGGGGAAGAGAGGCATTCGCCAAGCTTTGTTAATACTGATCAGCATAAAAATGGACAGACCTGACCTGGAAGATGCTTACAGCTCACCTCTTGGCTGACCACCTCTCTTCCCATGTGCAGCCAACTCTTCTTTGCTGAGTCCAAAGAGACACCCACTCTGAGAGGAGAGAAAGTCACAACATGGAGGCTTCTTTAAGAAGCTTGGTGCTTTAATGGACCATTTCAGGGTCCTTGAATGAGCTTGGTCAGAGTAGGAATCATAGAATGATGGAGCTTAGAAGGGACTAAACGAACATTTAGTTCAACCTTCCCCTTCTACGCTATGGGGAAACTGAGGTCCAGAGAGTTTGTGACTTTCTCTAGGAGATGCACAGTGAGTCAGTGACAGCTCTGGGACTCCAGAGCCTCCCGGTCCAGCCCAGTCCCCACTCACTGCCTCTGACTCCGGGCCCATCCAAGAAATGTTTTGGGCACCCTGTCCAGAGCCCAGGCACCCCAGGGGAACACCTGTTTTTCCAAAGAACTTTTGGTGAAACAACCTCCATGCTATAGCTATGTTTGCTGCTTCTGCTGCTGGGCTGCTTCTGCTGCTGCTGCTCTTCTTGGTGTCTGCTAGGGCTGGCATGGGAGCTAGTTCTGGTTGGAGAAGTATTGTCATGCTTATTGGCCATAGAGCTGTTTTAGGAGGGCCCACACCTGCACTGGTGAACTGCCTTTAGGAGATACTGGGGCTGGTGATGAAGAAGCACCGGGGAAGCAATGATGGTGGTGCCATTAGACGTGAGATATCGTCTTCCCTGCTTAAAGCTTGAGCTTGCATGGCAGATGGTCCTACAGCCTGGGCCTCTGTGTATCCAACAGAGGTGAGCAGCTGGGATCACACCTTATCTGGGGGGAGTAAAGCAAGAATCTCTATCTGATGGGCCCAGAAATTCAATCTTTGATCCCCAGTCCCAGGAAAACATGAGGGCTACATGCCCAACAGTTGACATGCATCCTTTGGGTGACCCAGGTGACAACCAAAAAAAGAAATCCTAGACCAAGCACAGTTCTCTGTCTTTTCTGTGTCTGAAACAGTCTCATTACCTCGCAAGGACTGAATTTCTGTGCTCCTCTGAACCAGATTCTTAGCACTGCCTCCAAGTGCCTGGTGAAGTGGACTCCTCCACTTGTGGAGGATCACTTGTTGTGGATCACGATGGCCTGTTAGAGGAGGGGGTGGCTCATGTGCTAAGTGTGGTCAGTTAAAGAAGGTGCTGAACTAGAACAAGAAAAAGAAAAGGTCCCCTCCCCAGCTCCTCCAGAGCATTCCCCAAGAGGGTCATTGGGCCTTTCTTTAGAATCCCAGCGAAATAGATATGGCCATGGAATGTGGTCGCGAAGAAGGTCTAGAGACCTTGGAATTCTAAGGGACTTCCCCCCATGGGCTAAAAGCCCCTCTCACCAATAGAAGTGACTGAGGGACGAGTTTGAGCTCCTCCAAGAATAAGGGAGGAAACTACAGAAACAGGCAGGGAACCAACTGAAACCCGAAATCACTTTGGCTAGTGAGGTAGAGGAAGGGAGCAGATGCTGCTTAGGAAGTGTGGTGAGTAGCTGGGAGATGATGGGGGAAGCCAGTGACTTTGAGAGAAGATAGAAGAGGAAAGAAGGAAGTGTTCTGAGTGTTAAATACAGGTATTGGGAGCCAAAAGGTGGGCTTAAACAAGGCCACCAGGCCATGCCAAGGCCTCTAGCACAGGTGTGAAGGAGTACCCTTTATGTGCCAATTCTGAGAGAGGCCGCCCCTTGCCATGCAATAATGGAGGCTAGCTGACTTGGCTATAGTGCGAGCTCATGAGCTGGAGTCTGGCTGAGCCACTGACCTCCCCACCCCCGCAACCTGGGGCACAGAGACACAGCTGGGGTTATGTGGATGAAAGCTTTTGTTGAGCAGCTGGCAAGCGGGTGTGGCCACTGGTGAAGCAGTGCCCGTCAGGCACCAAAGCTTCAGTGAGAAAGCGGCGGCAGCCTGCTCAAGGCCAGAAGTGGATGGAGAAGGCCCAGAGGCTTGCAGAGCTGAGAAGAGAGGCCAGGCTAGATGTGGCAGGGGTCGCTGTGTGCCTGCTTCTTTGTTTTGGTTTTTAGCATTCTCTTTGCTTCACCTTGTTGCTTTTTCCCAACTACGGTTTTTTTTCTTTTTTCTGCTTTTTTTCCTCTTCCTTCTGTCTGTCTGTCCCCCTCCTTCTTCCTTTCCTCACCATAGACATGTCCGACTTTGAGAACAATAATGGTAACCCTGGCGTGGCAGAATTGAGTCAACGCCCTGACAATCTCTCCACAGTGACCAACGCCTTGGTGGGTATGAGCCCCTCATCTTCCCTGTCAGCCTTATCCAGCCGAGCGGCCTCCGTGTCCAGCCTCCATGAGCGGATGCTGTTTGCTCCAGGCAGCGAAGAAGCCATTGAGAGGTTGAAGGTGAGTGAAGAGAAAAACCTCTGGGGCAGCTAACTGGATAGAAGAGTGATAATGCTGGAGCGTTGGACTTGCGGTCAAGATGATCTGGGTTCTAATCCTGCTTTAGACATGGGCTGTGTGACCTTAGCCAAGGCACTGATCCTTAGCTTCCTTGTCTGTAAAATGGAGCTGCCAGTAGTCCCACCTACCACACAGGGCTGTCATGAGTATTAAGTAATTTAATGCAGGTAAGGTGCTTTGCAAACCTTGAAGTTCTATATGAATGACAACTACTATTATTTTGGGGACAGCACGAAATCCATCAGGCAACTATGTGATGCAGTGGATAGAGTGCCGGCCCTAGAATCAAGAGGAACTTAGACATTTACTAGCTGTGTGACCCTGGGCAAGTCACTTAACCCAGTTTCCTCAGTTTTCCTCATCTGTCAAATGAGCTGGAGAAGGAAATGACAAACCACTCCAGTACCTTTGCCAAGAAGACCCCAAATGGGGTCACAAAGAGTCGAACACAACTGAAACGACTGAATAGCAACAAAAGAAATCCATAAATTAATCATCATACGTTTATCAAGCCCCCCTATTTGCAGACACAGAGCTGAGACAAAGCAAAAGCAGACAGTCTTGGTCTTCCAAGGGCTTCTGTTCTAATGGGAGGGGCCAGCACTAACCAAGTGAAGGATGGTCACTGGAATCTCTGTGTATCTAGAAGAGAGTGCACCAGAAAGTTGGCCAAGAGAGTTGTAGATGTCTTGGCTTATCTAAACCTTACACCAATCCTGCTCCCAGGAGTAGCTCCATTTTACAGAAGAAGAAACTGAGGCTCAGAGACATTCAGGGACTTGCCCAGGGTCACACAGATAACAAATATCCCCAGAAGAAGGATGGAAAGCAGCTCTTCCTGCCTCCAGGTCTAGCAGTTTATGCACCACACCACATCTAGGCTCTGGTCGTACAAAGAGAGAGAATAAAGAGGCATGACGATGCTGCTACCCAGAGAAGCTCAGGCAAATCAGTTGGCTTGGAATATCTGTCTCAGCTCCATCGACACTCGACAGTGTCTCCCTGACATTTCTGTGACCAGTGGGTTAAAGGTCCCTGCACAAACCAGATAGTGTCACTCACCAAAACCAGTTCCCATGTGACCTAATAGAAAATAGAGGCAGGACTCAAAGATGGTCTCTTGGGTCTACTGCCTGGCTTCTGGTGGTCCCTGAAGGTATGAAAACAATTCCTAATCTTTGTGATTTCAAGAAACTCGAAGCTGTCTTGAGCCAGCATAAGACCAAGGTCTCCTCTCCCCACCCTTCTTCCTAAAACTAGTTTATTTTTTCCAAAAGTCAATTGCATTCCATTCTGTAAGAAAAGGCCATTTTTTCTCACTCAATCTTCCCACACACTGCGTCCCTGCAGGAGACTGAAAAGATCATTGCTGAACTGAATGAGACCTGGGAGGAGAAGCTGCGCAGGACAGAAGCCATCCGGATGGAGAGGTGGGCATCCTGGGAATCACAAGCGCCCAGTCCGGGGCCCTGGGGCACTGAAGGCTCTGTGTTGGGGACATGGACTGTGCAGCAGAATAGCCACTAACTGTTATTGAAAAAGTGATAACTGGCTCCCCGTGGATTGATTGTTATCGGAGGTATAGATGAGAGAATTCTCAGGCACTTTCCCAAATGCTCGTCTTAGATGGGGATTCAAATGGTTTCCCAAAGGGGTGGGCAGCAAAGAGCTGATTGGGCTGGGCTGGAGGGGTGGAGGGGATATAGAGGTACATGTCCCATGAATCCAGCTACTGAACTGCAAAGGCAGGATTCAAATCTGGGTCTTGACTCTCAGCCTAGAACCTCTGAAATGTCCTAGCTGTGGGACTATGGACAAGTCCAGCACATTCCCCACTCGGCTCCACTACCTCTGGGGGACTTCTTCTTTTTGCAGATACAGGCATCTCATAGAAGTTCAAGATCAAAAAGCTAGCTTGAGGCAAATGTGGGACCAGAGCCCAGATAGCTTTTGTTTCCTGAAACACAAAAGTGTTGGGCTTAGCTTTAGTCTAGCTTCAACCAATATAACTTTCCTTTTCCACTAAGAATGGTCTTCTCATATCCCTAGACCCAGGACCCAGGGCCTTCTGCCAATAGCAAAAACAAACTCACTGGACTAAATGAGGCTCCAATTTCAATCATTGTCAGTGTGTTTATCCAGTCAGCTCAATTAACCAGTCAATCAAAGTTGCTTGGACATTTTTTTTTTTACATTTTCAACCAAATTAACTAAGTTTGCTAGCATCTACCAGTCAGGTATTGGGGGTCCTATCAACCTCAGGATCCCTGACTTCAGAAATACAAAACACAGGATGAATCTGACAGAAGAGAATTACAAAGAAAAGATAATGTGCCTGCTAATGGATAGCATATTTATTTAAATATAGACTCCCTTAAAGAAAACCCAAAATAGGAAATGAGAGCTCTTATTTGTGTGAGTAGATTTGTGGACAATCATTCCCATTGCCAAAGGGTTCTTTGCCAGGAGAGCAGGGAAACACCTTGAAACAGAGCTCCCCTCCTGTAGTCAAGGATTTATTTACAAATAATTATAGATCTGCCACAAAGGGTTGATGGTCCCTCTCATGCTTGACTGAAGGCAGTACAGTATAAAGAATAGAATGCTGACCTTGGAGTTGGAAGCCCTGGGTTCCAATCAGGACTCTGATGCTTGTTAAAGTCACCTATCCTCTGGGAGCCTTTGTTTCCTCAACTGAAAAAGGAGGAGGCTGAATGAGATCAGGGGTTCTTAATCTAGGGTCTCTTAACCTGTTGTTGTTGTTGTGATTGTTTTTAATATGCTAATAAGCTATAGTTCAACAAAATTGCTTTCATTTGTAATGCTATGTATTTGATTTTTGCATTTAAAATCATGGTCTTGAGAAGGGATCCTTGGCTTCACCATACTGCCAAAGTGGGGTCCACGACCCAAAAAAGATTAAGAACCTCTGTACTGCATGGCCTCTGAGGCCCTTGCATCTCGACATCTCTGACCCTGCCTTCATCAGACTGCATCTGAAGGACTGTGTTCAGTTCTGGGTACCATATTTGAGGGAGAAAACTGATAGGCTGGAGAGAATCCAGAGGAGGGACAACCTAGATGTTGACTAGCATTGAGTTCATGCCACATATGAATCAGTTGAAGAAACATGGGTTATTTAATCTGGAGAAGAGAGCACTTATGGGGAACATGATAGCGCTGCTCAAATATCTGGATGTCCACCCTGGGGCAAATAGATGTGATCAGCTTGGTCCAAAGGGGCTAAGTCAGGGTCACTGAATGGAGGCTGCATAGAGATGAATGGATGGTTCATGCAAAGGAAATCTTCCCAACAGTGAGAGCTGCCCTAAGTGGAATGGGCTGCCTTGCGGGGGAGGCCGCCTCTTTGGAGGTCTTCAAGACCAGGTTGGCAGGTTGTGGTGGGGATCCTTTTTCAGCTGTGAGTTAGACTAAATGACCACTGAGGCCTCTTCACCTCTAGAAGTCTATGAATCATGAACCGGAAGGCTGGTGACTGAGGCAGGAAAATCTAGAGATAAAATGTTAGCAGCCACTGACAGTTGGGGATCAGTGAGAAATGTCTTTTACATTCACTTTTTAATAAGAAGAGTCACACTTGTGGCCTTCTGCTCCTGGCTCAGGGTCAGGAAGCTCATCCAGTTTCACTTTCAGCCTGAAGTTTGCATTCCTTTGGCCCTTTTTTTTTTAACCCGTTCCTGGTCTTTGGGTCGTATCACACTGGAGTCTGATCTCTTGGGTCTCACGGCTCCTTCTAGACTTTCTGTACCTGCCTAACCTCTCTTCAGTCTGAATGCCAGACCATGACCCATGCTGATCTCTGACTTCAGCTTCTGTCTTTTTTCAGGGAGGCTTTGCTGGCTGAAATGGGTGTGGCCATGAGGGAAGATGGCGGCACCCTGGGTGTGTTCTCTCCCAAAAAGGTAAGAGCAGCTTTCAAGACCTCTCTCTCTCTCTCTCTCTCTCTCTCTCTCTCTCTCTCTCTCTCTCTCTCTCTCTCTCCCTCTCCCTCTCTCCTGGTGATGCATTGACTTGAAGATCAAGGAGGCTTTGATAAAATTTGGCATCAGGCAGATGAGTTCAACTCGACTCTGTCATGGCATGTCCTCATGGCAAATCTGTTTCAAAAGAGGAAAATGTGACTGTCTTTGTTCTGTTTTCTCAAATCTCAGTCCTGAGACCTAGCAAATATTGAGTAGCAGCTCCAAGGTTAAGACTATCACAACAGGAGGCTCCATTTCTATAGTCCTTTGAGGTTCACTGAACACCAGCCTCACCACAGCCCTGGGAGGTAGGAAGGCACAGCAAGTAGGATAATTGCCATTTTACAGATGAGGAAACTGAGGCTTGAAGAAATGACATGAATTTTCTATCTACTATTCTTAGTCCAGCGCTCTCCATGCCTTTACTGAGGTTGTTCCTTGTCCTTGGAATATTCAAACCATTGCCATACTAGGCTTTCCTGCACAGTGACCTGACCATGTTGCACCTCTCCTCAAAATCTTTTGGAAGCTCCTTCTGTACACTGAGGCCAGTTCAGGAACATAGCTGCCCATAAGGGGAAGTTTGGTGTATAAAAAGCAGCTAAATGGTGCAGTGGGTGGAGTGCTAGACCTGGATTCAGGAAGACCTGGGTTCAAATCCAGCTTCAGATTCACATTCAGGTTCACACTACCTGTGTGAACATGGCCAAGTCATTTAACCTCTGTCTGCCTCAGTTTCCTCAACTGTAAGATGGGATAGTAAGAGTACCTGCTTCCCAGAGTTGTTGTGAGGACCAAATGAGTTAAGTAAGTAAAGTGCTTCAAGTGTTATATAAATGCTACCTAAGGTCATCATCATCATCATCATTTTCAAGGGGAGTCACGGGCAGCTGCTTTGTATAACTAGATCTCTTTCCCCATAAATTCATTTTAAAAGAACTAATTGAATCGATCCTTTTGATCTTTTCAGTTGGCCTTTGTTAGACTGTTTGCATTATGTAAATCTCTCCCTTTCATCTTTTTAGCCTCTGCTGTTTAGCCCCTGGGATTTATTCCTAGAGAGTGTTGGGGTGCATTCCCCGAGGCAGGTAGGTGTGGTGTTGAGCTTCAGTGATGGCTGAAATCCTGCTGAGAAGTTCAGGTGTTGGGCTGAAATAATTGGTGACAGCACATGTGGTGAATTCAGAGTGGAGAAGAGATCATTCAGAGGTGCCCAGGTCTTCTGGGCTCTCCTGTAAACAAAGCGGTGTCGCCATTTATACCTTCCTCAAACATCCTTGCTCTCCCATTGACGCTCTGAGATATGGTAGAGATTTTATCTTTGTATCTTTGGTGCCTGGCTATAAGTTTGATAGAGAATAGTCCCCCACATTCAAATGGAATCCCCAGGAGAATTATTTCCCTAGAAAATTCCTGCCTACCTAGGTACTCAAAAGGAACACTGGGGCAGAGGCAGGCCTCTTTCCACTTCACTAGTTGTGTGACTTTCAGCAAATCATTATGTTTGTCATATGGCAAATGTGGGGGGCCTGGATCTCTAACATTCCTTCCAACTCTAAATCTAATCTGATGATCCCTGCTTCTTGGGAAGACATTTAGATCATTTTCTACCCCAGGTGCAAATGTTTAGAAACGTGCTACAAGCAAGTATCCTCAGATTACTTGGCTAAACCTTGGTCTCCCGAAGAGTGCTGGTGCTTTCAATATGTCCAACAGCCAACACTGAGAAGGGATGGAGTTTGTCCCCAAGTTCTCACCTTCTTCCATCTGGCCTTTTCTCAAGGTGGAAGTTAGATTTGTATCAAGAGTACATGGCACACCAATTGGGATGGTGTTCATTCAGAACTTCTCCAGTGCTCCACAGAAGTGAGGTCTGCTGGGTTGACTGGAATATCTTTCAGCCCCTTCAGGCTTCCCTGGGGTCTGTAGAAGCCAGGGATTTTCGTTGTAGTCGTTTTTAAAAACTTCCAAATTCTGAAGGCTTCAATTTGAGATTCTGGCCAGAGATCTGTGGCAATGTAGGTGCGGTTTCAGCAGTAAAGGATAAAAGATGAATGGCTTGGAGAGGAGCAGCCCCGGAGAGACAGAAAGACCCAAGCTCCCAGAAGGAATCTGTAGAATAGAGAGGCATGCTATACATTCTGTTGGATAGGAAAGCAGTATGTCTTGCACTGAGCTAATGCAATTTGGGGCTTCCAAAACTGAGGTGATAATCTGACTGTCCTCTACCCTGGTCAGACTATATCTAGAGCATTGTATTCAGTTTCTGGGCACCACAGTATAGGAAGAACATTAATAAGCTAGACCAAATCTAGAGAAGAGCAATCAGGATTGTGAAGGTCCTGGAGTCCCTGGGGATGTTTAGCATGGGGAAAAGGAGAGTTGGGCAGGACATCATAGCTGAACTGCCTTCTAGAATTGTGAAGAACTCTCATGTGAAGAGAGACTAGACTCATCTTGGCCCCAGGGGACAGAACCAGGAGCAACAAGTGCAAGTCAAAAAGAGGCAAAATTCATCTTGATATCGAGCAAAACAACTTCCTAATAATGAATCCACCCAAAGTGGAATGGCTTGCCTTAAGAGTTGCTGGGCTCCCTTCCTTGGAGATTTTAAGCAGAAGCCGGATGGCCATTTGTCAAGTGTATTGTAAAAGGCAAGTCTTTGGGAGGGGTCAAGTTGGGCCAGTGAGGACCCTGGCAATTGTGAAAATCTGCAAATCCTTAAGTCTACAAATTTTGTAGGACATACAGGAGCCTGATATGAGAGCTGTCAAGGCACAGATAGCTGTCTACTCATTGTGGAGAGAAATGAGGAAACAGGAACTGAGAAGAGAGAAGTAAGGATAGAAAGCCTCCTTTCATACATTGATGACATATTCCAGTAGGACAAGCAGACAGAAAAGGAGTTTGGGAATGCCAGTCTCTAAACAAGCATAGACACTTAGCAACCATAAGAGGTACTCCCCATTAGAGCTATAGGACCTCACTTTGTAGGATGAAAGGTAGAGTACTCCTTCAAGGACACCTGTATGATGTCAGAACATGAGCTCAGAGAAAGTCTCATCCCCTTCACTGCCTATTGGTTAATATCAGCACCTTTGTCAGTGAAAAATGAGTCATAGGACGGCTGGACCCATGTTGTAGATGTGAGATCTCTTGGTCGTCTTTACTACTGCACGGCTGTTTGGACTCAGTCTATCTGTTGGAAATCCTTCCCACATACAAGATTTGTCCATAGCAAGAATTACACCCTTCCCTCTCAATTATATCCTTCCCTCTCCATCACCCATCAAACCTTGTTTTCAGGCAACCAAGACTTCTCTGCCCTTTGTAATTTCCCCTTCCCAGAAGCCAGGTAGTCTGAGCTGATTGCTGGGGCTCAAGAACAAAAGACTGAAGGAACTTGAAGAATTCCAACTGGGTTTCTAGAAGCTGAGCTCACCCAGAGAATGCCCTGGGTAGTTATGTGTCTAGCAGAGACATTCCTGAGGAATGCTCTGCATGCAAGGGAGTCTGGGCTCTTAGATTTCTCTCCATACATGTGGTGCTAAACTCAGGCCTAAACGATGGATTATTTGTAACTGATTAGATTAATAGGCTTTCAGTGGTGCTGTGCTGAAAACTTGGAAGAAATTATTCTTCGTATTGTAAGATTCTAACTCCTTTGCAAGCCCTTTGCTGTCATGGTTTTCTGTGTGTGTCTTTTGTTTCTCTCTATGACTACTTTAGGGAAAAAATGAGCCATCCCTTTACCAAGGGCTGTAACTAGATAGATTATTGGGCAGCTCTAGGGGGAGAGAGTACTCAGATGAATGGTCAGTTCACAAGTTCATTGCAGAAAAGAGTATTCATCTTTCTTCTTTCTAGACACCTCATCTTGTCAACCTGAATGAAGACCCTCTGATGTCTGAGTGCCTTTTGTACTACATTAAAGATGGAATAACCAGGTAAGATAGCACCACTAGTAAAGCCTTCTGTCACCTGTGTAAATAGTTGAGCCATGATGTCAGCTGCCTTTTCCTTAGTTAAGGGTAATATTCTGTTTGTCCATGCCAAGAGCTGAGAGCCTATGGGATGGGGAAGGGGCACTTTTCTATCATCTTCCACCATTGCACTTATCTTATCTTCTTCTGTCAAACCCCGGGAGTTCTGCCATTAGAATGGCAGTTTTCCTAGAACCCATCTGTTGATGATGGGGGCAGGGTTCTTTTGGGGAGGAATGGGGAGACTTGACTAGATGACTCTTAAGGCTCCTCCTTGCCTGTGGCCCTCTCATGCAGGTAAAATGCAATGTCACTTAATTTGACTCAATAAGCATTCATTAAGTGCCAGTCTTATGCTAGGAACTAGAAACACAAAGACAAAGCAAAGGAGATCCCACCTTCAGGGTGATCATAACATATAAGAAGATATGAGCATTGTCAGGAAAGCATAGAGAAAAGGGATTGTTAATCACATTGACGTTTTAGGAAGCTTACTTTACATTCAAAGTTGATAGTATGAAGCCTCATCATCACCTTGAGGTGTTCAAGCATTTGGACTACACTCTGGCACTGGGTTCCCTTTGTGACTCAATTCAGGATCAGGACCATGGTCAGGGCTTCAAAGCAGCCTTCAGAACAGGAAACCAACCGGAGGATGCCACTTTCTGGCCAACTGAGCCACAGAACAGCTAAAGCTAAGCAAGATTCCCCAGAAGTTTTCTCTGAAGCTTCTCTGAAGGAGAAGCTGCTTCTGTGACCTAGGTCCTTCTCTCTTTCCCCATGAATAACAAATGTAAGCATACACCGGTCCATGTACTCCTAATCTGCTTTGTTGGTATACCTAAACGGAGGAATGTGGTACCTCTTCTCAGTGATACAAATATAACCCCTCATGTTCTTTCCATTTCTCTGGGCTTCATTCCTTGCAATCCTTGCAAAGGATTGTCCAAATATCACTGAACATTTTAAACTCCCTTCTCATTCTAGTTCTTAAGATCGTGTTGCAATGAACAGGTTATCTTCTCTTTGAATTTCTCAGCCTCTCTCCCATTTGAGGGTGGAATAACTTTGGATAGCAGTGGCACTCTGTAAAGCTCAATGGGTCACGGCCAGAGAATGCTAACAACCTGTACCTCTGTACTTAGAGTTGGCCGGGAGGATGGAGAGAGGAGACAAGACATTGTCCTGAGCGGGCACTTCATAAAGGAAGAACACTGCGTTTTCCGGAGTGACAGCAGGGCTGGCAATGAAGGTATCCCCTGGTTCCAATGCTGTTGTGGCTTTGCATTCCCCCTCAGCAGATTTCACCTGCCTTTTCAATGACCTTCATGTTTCCGAGCTCTCTTTCTGTTTGACTGAAGGCCATGTTGGGATCTATGTCCATGAATTCAGTCCAATCCTATTCAACAAACGAATTTAGCAAGAACTGTGTTAGTTGCAATAGACACAAAGACAAAAATGAAACAGTTCCTGCCCTCAAGGGGCCTTCATTCTACTGGAAGGAAAAGCATAGTTTATATGCAGAAAAGTATATATGTGATAATTTGAAAGGGGAAAAAACTCTGACAACTAAAGAGAATCAGTAAAATTTTGTCAGGAACTTTGAATGAAACTACAGCTTCTAAGAGGTAGAAGTGAGGGAGGGCACTGCAGGCAGGGCAGCCAGCCTGGGCAAATAACCAAGGTGGGAGGTGAAGTGACAAATTTTGGAAATTTTGATTAAGCAAGTCAATAAGTCAACAAGAATTTAGTAAGTGTTTACAGTGTGTCAGGCACTGTGCAAAGCACTGGGGATACAAAAAAAGGCAAAAATGTCCACTACCCTCAAGGATCTCACATTTGAATGAAGGAAAGAACATTTAGAATAGATTTGGTGAGAACATGACCATATGAGGAAGAATAATTATGCAATAAGCCTGGAAAGGAGACCTGTAACCAGCCCATGAAGGACTTCAAGTGCCAATTCGCAGTCCAGGATCCTGAGCTCCTATGATAGAGAGAGCTTCCACCAGTCTCCTTTCTATCAAGAAAGGTATAAAAATGCAACATGACTTTATGGGCAGGTCAAATATGGGCCTGGGAATTTCCATCTCACTTCCCTCAAAAAAGTTAGACTCTCATCACCCCTTTGCATGAGTTTCTTGCCAAGATATATCTTGATGGAAGTGTGGATGGTCCCTTATTGCTCTCCTCCCCCCTACACTGATCAATGGGAAACAACAAGAGAAAAAGAAGCCTTGGGGTAAGGAATTGTGCTGCATGGCTGGCTGCTGCTAAGATAGCCCTTTGTAGACCAAATGAGTAGCCAGGGAAGGTGCCCACTCTGGGTGTCATTCTGCAGAAATATGGGCTCAGTCAGTGTCTTGTCCTAGTTTGAATGCAAGCGTACATGTGCTAATGAGCAGAGCACCACTTCTTCCTATTTGCCAGCCTGTGTACAATGGGAATAACTGAATCCAACATCTGGTACTTTCCAAAGGCCCCCAAAGAATGTGAGTCTCCTATGACTTGGATCACTTTCCCCCTCTGGACCAGTTTCCTTAGTTCTATTAGCAGGATTTTTACTGAGCCAGTCTCTAACCTGAGAATGCTCAGAACCGCACAAAGCAGGCTTAGAGATGGGAGTGCCAGGAGTCAAGCAGTTTTATTAATCAGTTTCAGAGCGAGGAATGTTCTCTTAGCTGAAGTCAAAGCACAGGTTTTATACTTAAATCACAACAGGGGAGGAGAGGGGAACAATCATTTAGTGGTTTCTCATGAAAAGCCCCTAAATCCCACAATACAACAATTCTGAAGTCAAGTTTTTGGGAGTTGTGACCACCTCCCCTACAGCACAGAACCAGAGTTCTGTGAGATGGGAACAGCTTCCACGATCTTTGATTCACTTCACTTAAGGCCCAGTGACTGTGAGCATTGTCAGAGCTTTTGATTAATCAGTTTAAGCTGCATTGTGAGCTCTGCTTCCTGAGCCAGAGAGGCAGCTCTTGAGAAAATTAAATGATTAGTGTGTTCATTACACATACCATATTGATTAATATGAAAATTATAAATTCCTTTCTCAGTTCTAAAAGAAAGGGGTAAGATTTCTTGATCTCTAAGATCGACTTCTCTGCCTATAAATCCTAAATCCTAAAAGGCCTATAACTGCTACCTCTGCCACTAACCTGCCAAATAATTTTGGGCAAGGCACTTACACTCACTGACTTAATTTCCCCAACTGTAAAATTAAGAGGTTGGACTAGATGACCTCCAAAGTGCTCTTCAGCCCTAACTCCTATCATTCTATAAATCTCAGAGCCACCATTGATTTGCTGTGTGATCCTGATTTCCTGTGAATCCTGGGGTCTTGCTATCTCTCTGGGCCTCAGTCTCCTTCCTTGAAAAATCTGTGGGTTGGATTGATGATCTCTGAGATTCTCTCGGAGGACCTCTCCATTTAGGTCTAACTCCTGTGAAACCTGAAAATACAGGATATATTTGTTCCCCTACCCCAAATTTCTTTAGATTGGTTCATTGGGTGTCATGGATTAATCCTCTCATGCTAAATACCAGCAGATAGCAAGGTTATCATGGCTTTTGGCCGGAGAGGAATGGGTGTGCCCAGCCATGAAAATGACCACGATTTCCGATGCCCATACCTTCTTCATGGCCCCATTAGGTGTGACCATTTACCTCTTCTGACTCCTAACATTGTAAGTTCACCCCTTTCTATGACCAAACAAATCTGAATACTAAAGGAGCAAAAAAGTGTGAATTTTGTGGAAATAAAATGATTGGTATTCCCAAGGTGAACAGCTGACAAGCTCCCTGCCAGGAAGAACAGGGACTGGAAAAATTACAGTGAAAGTTTGTCTCCACCCCTGCCTACCCTTTCCCCACACCTTTCTGTTACATTTCAGACTTGCCTCCCCCATGTCCAATGCCAATGCCTGCCATGCTTGTGACGTGGGCCTCCATGGTTGGCTTGCCCAGATCTATTATCCTTGGATGGTATCCTGCACTCTTTATGGTCCATTCTTCCTTCCCTACCAAGCCTTGCCTGTCCCTGAGCTTTTCACTCAGGCTCTTCTCTTTTGGTTCATCTGATTAGGGCGTGCAGGAGTGTAAGTGACTTCATGCCTTAGAACTACTATACAAACTATGTGAGTGATGAGTATGGCATCAGAAAGAATCTCATCCCTTCCCAATCCTATCTAGATGTGTGACATCAGAAGAAGTCACAAAAGTCACAAAGGAAAGTCACAAAAACCTCTTGGAGTCTCAGTTTCCTCATCCATAAAATAGGGACAAGATAATGCCTCCGGTTCCCACCTCACTGGGTTGGGGACGAGGCTCAAAAAAGATAATGGATAGAAAACACTTGATGAAGTGCTATGAGGCACTAGGAGTTGTCAGTGCTATGAGTGTGTAGACTTCTCAGACGTCAGTTCCATTTAATGGTGGCATTTTGGAAATAAGAGGCAGGTGGGATAGTAAAAAAAAAAAAGAGAGAGAGAGAGCACAGAATTGGGAATTTGGAGATCTGCTTATTAGTTCCAACTCTGTCACTAACTTCTGTCTGAAGATGCTGAACTTCTTTCCAGTCCCAAATCTATGTTCCCATGTCCCCAATCCTGCCTGAGGGCTAGGAACTCTGAGAAGGGCAGCAGGAGACTCAGTGAGCACTGGATGAATAAGTGCAGATCATGGTGAGTGTGGGAGACCAGAACCCCCAAGATAGATCCCCGGGAAATTTTTATTTTTATGATGATGCTTACAGGAAGAGTGTTTGTCACAGTGCCTCAGCCTCCATAATTACATAGAATAAATACTGTCATGGTGACCACATATTTGACATCATATCCTCAGGTTCCTAAAGCAGAGTCAGTTCCAACTTCTCAAAGATCATGGCCAGTGTCAATATCAAAGGAAGCGAGCACAAACACACACACACACACACACACACACACACACACACACACACACACA